CTTTCTGATGGATGAAACAGCACTGTGTATTTGTGGGCATAACTTTCTCGCATGTGTTTTCCCATACAGATGTGCCCTCAGAGGGAAGACACATTCACCTACTCCAGGGTTGCTTGCACCTGTCTGAGAAGCGTCTGGAGCTGGATACTGTCTCTGACACTGGCTTGAACTACATGGGGCAGCAACTGGGTGGGGGGAGAGCAGGGAGTGGTTGAGCAGGGGGAAATACCTGTGCTCTAATAGCAACCTGAAGAGCTCCCCATCAAACAATCCTAACACAGATAAAAACACTGATCAGCCCATTCTCACACTACATGGAATTCCTGAATGAAAGGAAAGATTATCAATCCCTGTGGTCACTACACCCTAAAACCTCCTTGTATGAAATGTTAGGAGGCATTTCCACAGTGGGTATCCATCGATGGAGCTTCATCAATTTGCTCCACTGTGGGGCCCGACATTGCACATTTGGGGCCAGAATTTTGCTATCATTTACACAGGTGTGTACACAGACGTGGCATCAGTCAAGATTTACATAGGTGTGTCTGAGTAGGATTTGGCACTAAGATGCTTGTTTTAAATAGTTACTGAACAGCAAAACATTGGGACAGATTCCATGATACTGGTATAAAGCTAAAATAATTTGACTGACTTTGATGGCATTGCTCCAGATTAATCAACTGAAACCAAGAATTTGGTGCATCAGATGGAAGGAGATTCTGGGAACCTTTCTCTGTGTCTGCTTGAAAACGTACATGTTACAAAGCGTAATCGGGTTTCTCTAAATGAGAGAGACAAATCTATTTTTTTCCACCAATTCTTGCATTTTATTCCGTGTCTTTGAAAGCAACTTTAGCATAACCTAGATTCACAGATTCTCTGTGCTATCAGTTTCCTTTCCTATTTGCATGATTTATTTTGATTGCAAGGTAGGAAAGAAAAGTTTGAAATAGGGGAAAAAAAAACCCCAAATGATCACAACAGCATCAAAATCAGCAAGACAGCTTCACCACTGATCTTGTGTCCAAAATTACTTTTTATTAAAGATTTTACTTCAATTTGGCAATGTCCCTTCTATGACTTTGAGAAGATACTTGCTGTATATACAGCCCTAAATGTGCTCATGGGTTAAATAGATCAGATTCAGCTCATATTCACTGGGCTAGTTTGTTTGGCAGGCTGAGAATCTGTAAAAGGAGTGCCATCTCGGTGCTCAAAGCAGGAACGGATAAACAAAATTATCTTGCCAAGTGCTTTTAGACGCTTCCAGCTGCCTTGTCACTGTAAATCAGGCTATGGAGATGGCTCAAAATGAAGAACTTAAGAGGGAAGAAATAATGAGAGTTTATGTTAAAAGGGCAGATTCTCCCCTCAGCTGCTAGATCAATGCCCAAAGATGGCTCCCCTGGGCCAGTAAACTGCTGATTTTCATCAACATGAGAGCAGAGCCAAGCCCATGCACTTGCACACTTGTCTCTTGAAACAAACTGTGGGCCTGATCCAGCAAAGTGCCTTGACTTTGACTTGAGAGGGAGTTGAGGACATCGGATAAATTTTAGGAAGTTCCCTGTAGTTTGGTCAGCTCAGACAAGAAAAATAGGGAAAAATAAATCTGAACCCAGATGAAAAAAGGGAAATGAACACTGTAGCATTTGAGTCATACAGTACAATAATGACTTCTCTTTCCTTATTTCTTGGGAAGAGCAGGGGGCAAGAAGCTTTCTGATGTCAGTGTTGCAGATAAGAGCTAATCATACATTTAACTGTTGAAGGCTGTCTTTAAAAACCATGTATTCCTCCTGGCCCCCGCCCCCGCCACTGCGCAGAGGACCTGCCTTTCCCTGGGTCTCAGGACATGCCTAAAATGTTGCTCTGACAAAAATAAATAAATAAATTGAGGATGTGGACAACAAACTTTTCCTGTGTGATGTCACTTGGTTGCCCTTTATAAGTGGCTGCTAAAAAGCTGGGAACCCATCTGAGGACTCACACTCCAAATACACACGAAGAGGAGGCAGAAAAGAAGGAGTGTGAAGTATCGTGTTTCAGACACAGCACCAGCCACTAAGAAGAGAGCACCATGTTGCAGACCAGTCAGTACAGCCGCCTGGACTTCATGCTCTTTGTCCTGTGCAGCTTGAAGGCTACAGCTGCCTTTCCCAACTCCTCTCCACTGCTGAATCCCAGCTGGGGAACCACAGATCGTCTGATGCACCTGTACACGTCTACGGAGAAGAACAGCTTTCATCTGCAAATCAACCCTGATGGTTATGTGGATGGGACCCCTCACCAAACCATTTACAGTAAGTAGCTTGCTACACACACAGACCTCCCCTGAACAGGACAGACTTTCTACTTTCAGGGTCTGGGGAAGCATCCTACCTCAGGTGAGACAAAGGAAAGAGAGCTAGAGCAAGGAGGCTGAATAATGCACTGAGATTATTTGGAGACCAGGTATGGGAGATGTACTTGCACGTGGAGAGCAATGGTTAATTAAACGTTTGCATTTTCCCTCCAGATAAAAGGAAAATAGAATTTAGTTAAAGACTATCCTTTTGTAGGGTTGCCAACCCTGTAGAATTTCCCTGGAGTCTCCAGGGATTAGATATAAATCTCCAGGAGACTGCTGAGTCACCCAGGAGATAAATGATAGGTCATTCATGAACATAAATATTAAATGCTGAATCTGATTTATACAGGGTTTTAAAAATGTAACAGTAATGTACATTTGACTTCCTGATGTAAAGTCTATGCACCATAATCAAGAACTGATATACCTAAGCACACAGGCATGGTTACGTTGTGTGTCATGGGTATGTTGGCGTTCCACAAACCTCCTGGAATAGATTCAAACAACCCTGTCCTTTTGTTTAACAAATGAACAAAGCTGCTTAAAACAATTCAAATGACATGACCTTCAGTCTTCATTTTATAAATGCAGGATACCTGTCAAAAACTGCCAGACGCAACTTCTCTCTCTAGGAATGTCCCCGGTTTCCTGTCACAACTCAAATTTGTGTTGGACAATGATACATCCAAAGCAGCTTATAAATCTAACCACTACATTTTCTGAGGAAAGTGCAAATAATAGAGGCAAGCAGATTGTGTCCACAAAGCCTGCTGTTGTGAATGGAAGACGGCTAATTTCATCCATGTGTTTGCATGCATAAATTTTCACTTACAAGTGCATCAACTGGTCCCTTCTTTGAATATCTGCTTGAGAGAAAAGCTTGGGAACTATTCATTTGATCACTGTGTGAGAAATATCCCTGTGCATATGAAATGCATAATTGTATGTCCAACTGTAAATTAAATAATGGAATCTGCAAAAGTCAGGCTATGATGGGTAAACTTTTAACTCCCATTGACTTCTGTGGGACTTCTCATATGTGACTGATCTTCACTGGGACTAAAAGTTTCACAAATTGGCTCAAGGTAATTTAGCATATTTAAGGGACTCCTCTTTTGCTGTTCAAAACTTACCCTAAGTGTGAAGCCATATATTCAGATGCCATATATTCAGATGCATTTCGTGACACTTAAAAATCACCCTGGTCATTTCACAACTCAAACGTTAACCTACTAGGAATATTGAGGATTGTTTTCCATCTTATTAATGCAGCATACATCTCCTAATTGATAATGTGTAGATAATAGAGATAAAAGTTTATTTTCTTTTTGGATAAAAGATCTATTGCTTAATTTATGACTTTTTATCAGAAAATAAGTACTGGAACAACTGAACAATGCTACCTGTATTTACTCAAATATAAGACAACCCTGATTATAAGATGACCCTCCAATAATTAGATCCTAATATGTAACATTTATAAATTTTATATAATTGTCCAGTTACAGAATATAATTATTGGAGGTTTGTCTTGAATTTGTCCCCTTCTCACAGCTACAGCAGGGAAAATAAATTTGGGGGAATCAGCTAACCCCTTTGTCCTTGCCAGCTTCTACCCCCTACTGTCCCTTCCCCCACTCCTTATTGTCAGACCTGCTCTTCCTGAGCACATGAGAGCAAAAAAGTAAATTTGAAAAAATTGACCTTGAAATAAACATAGCTTTAGTGATTTGTATATAACTCCCATAGATTTAGCTCATCCATGTTTGATACATTTTACTTTTTTGGAAACTGTTGCAACTTTTAGCATAGGTACCCCATAAACATAGTTTTAAGTAGCACTTGGGCACCTTAGTTCAAAGCAAAGAGACTCATAATTTATCTATGCTTCATTGGACTGAAATAAAAATACAGGAAAAAAAGTATTTGCTGCACTGGCCTGAAATTAAAGAGAGAGGACACTTTGGAAAACTGTGATTAACTAAACTTTAAAGTGCCAAGAAAACAGGTTGCAAAGAAAGTTTCAGGTAATTTTTTGTTGAAAGGCAAAACCCTTCCCTGATTTTGGACACTATACTTTTTTTTTTCTGCAGGTGCTCTCATGATCAAAGCTGAAAATGCAGGCTATGTGGTGATAACCGGTGTCAAGAGCGGGTGCTACCTCTGCATGGACATCCAAGGAAATATCTTTGGATCAGTGAGTATTTTTAACCTTCCTGAGACTCGAGTGAAATGCAGAGCAAGTCTTGCCAACTGCTATGGGGCTACCTCCTCTCTGGTGTAAATCTCCATTGTTCCAGTCACTAATCTGAAATATTTACACCAGCCAAGGACCTGGCCATTAGTCTAGAATAACTGTGTTGCTTTTAGTTAGTTATATTAACAGACTTAATTTTTGTGTCAGTTGTGCCAACGCAACTTTCTGCAAAAGCCAAGGGAGCTGCCATGGGATAAGCCCAGGCAGGTCCAAATCCATGTCATCTGTGGGTATGTCTGGGAAGACATTGACACCTTCACAGAAGTTATTTTATATGAACAGAGATATAACCTCAAAGACTCGGAGGGCCTATGAGTGCTTAACAGATTAACATTTTACTAAGACTTGCTTGCTACTACTTAAAGCCAGGGTCTGAGGAGATAAATTAGAGTCCAATCCTACAATGCTCTGAGTACATCCTTGATGGTAGCAAGCCTCCTCAGCTCTGATGAGCATCAAGGATGGCTGATAGGCACTTTTACTTGCTGTACTGGCCCCTAGGACCTTTTTAAAAAAACCTGAAGGGCCTAATTCTGCACTTCTTTCTCATGTGAAAGGGCCTGTTGAAGCCAGTGAAGCTCTTCATATGAGTGAGAACCGCCAGATGTAGCCATTGGTCCCCTTGTTGCCTACTGATACTTGTTAACCCACTGAACCATTAACACTTGCCCTATTTTTGTTTCTTAAGCATTACTTCAATCAAGAGGACTGTGTGTTTAAACAAAGGACACTGGAAAATGGATATGACGTGTACCAGTCTCCCAAGTACCACTTTTTGGTCAGCCTGGGCAGAGCTAAGCAAGTTTTTTTCCCTGGTATGAACCCACCACCTTATTCCCAGTTTTTGTCCAGGAGAAATGAGATCCCTCTAATCCGGTTCAACACGCCTGAACCCCACAGGCACACTAGAAATGCAGATATTGATCCTATGGACCCCCACCAGATGTTGATCCCCCAGAGAAAGATCTCTGCAGTGCAGGCCCTGCCACAATGGTTTCAAAGTAACTTCGCCCACCTGCCCAGAGAGCCCATGAGATTCAATCCAAATGATGTGGTCAACCCAGATGACCCTCATTCCATGATGGATGCAAGGAGGCACGCCAGCCCTCGTTTCTACATTACAAGATAGCGGGGTGTTGCTCCACCATAGACTAGAGACATGGGTGAATATATTAGACAGAAAGAACTGGCTCGTGCCCTAGAAGTTTTGATACCCAATCTCTAACCTTCTTTCACATGGCCTATTAGAAACCTGAAAGATGCTGAATTTGAGTTTTGTTCATGAGAATGACCTGTTACTGGAAAATTGAACAATGTATTTTTACAGACTGGGCTTTATGTTACTTGAAATAAGCTATATTTGCAAGGTAATAATACAAACCACACATTGGAGAGTCCAAATCTCCACTCACTTACCTCAGTGTAAATAAGAAGGAACTCTACCCAAGACTGAGGAATTAATTGTATACAATTCCTAACTGAGGAATTAATTATATACAATTCCTAATGAGGCCTGAGAGATTTGGGTCCTACAATGTCTAAATTCTAGTGTAGGCAGGGAAATTCACTTCCAAACCACCCTGCAAACTCTAGGACAATGGGTACATAACTGATTGTATTTTATAGAAAACTTCCTTCACTGTATTTTGGTTTGTTAAGATCAGAGTCCAAGTCTCCTTTCACACCAGTGTAAAGCCAAAGTAATTCCACTGATGTTAAAGGAGAGTAAAACTGGAATAATTTTCAGGAGAATTTGGTCCTAAGGAGAAAGAGTTAGTTTGGATACAATAAGAATTGACCATGCTGAACTCATACTGAAATTACTTTGGGGTCTGGAAAAGCTCTGGCAGTCTTTTACTCTTTTTATTCATAGTTCCTTCTATATTGTGCTCCCTGC